CTCTCTCTCTCTCTCTCTTTCCCCCTTCTCTCTTTGAGGTTAAATAAATAAATAAATAAATAAATAAATAAATAAATAAAATTCAGGAGGGAGGGAGAAAGTGAAATACAGATCCTGAGGTGGTCACATGTAGACGCCCATGGGGAGGACAAGAGAAACTAACTCTAGGAGACAGCAGTGTGTAAGGAGTTGGCAGGAGGTGAGGGGCACACAAAGGAACAGTGAAAATAACAGAAGCAGAGTAGAGGTAGGAGGAGAGCCAGCTAGTGACACGATGCCAAGGCAGTGACCACTTCAAAGCCAAAAGTGTGACAAGCACTGCCAGATGCTGCAGAAAGAATAAGTACTGAGTGTCCACCAGAAGAGGCAAAGGTCACTGAGGAGAGTGGCTGTATGGACTGGAACAGTCCAATTAAAGTGGAAGGATAACAGAGTGATCCATGCACTCCCAAAACTGAAATGAAATATCACCAGAAATAGTAATTTTGAGATATGTCCACATGTCAGAGCCTGAGGAGAACTGCCACTAATTCCCCACTAATTTCAACACTGATGAAACTGGGGAAACACAACTTCAATCCCAAGAACCACAGCAGCCCACGGGAAGGAAGGCTTTCACTCACCACCACTATTTGTTCTTGCCAGGGACCCAGAGGCTACAGTGGCCGCCAAAGTAAGCAACTGTTTCCATGGTGATCTATTCCCCAACCCAAACCCACCTCGGCAGCACCCCTTTTCTAAGCTCCGCTAGAAAACACACCTCTGAGAGTAAGCAGAGCAGGGGTTGGTGCGCCATCCTGGATCATTGGCAGGACAGATGAGAACCGGAATGTACCTGGGCTCACTGGCTGCTGTGCTCCCGTGTGAGCAGGAAGGAGAGCAGGAGAGGGAAGGACAAAGGGCTATATAATTCTGTGGCACATACAACTGAATGTGCCATCAAGATCCCGCTTCTGCCCAGAAGCCCTGCACGAGACAGATGAATATCTTCTAGAAACAGGACTCTCTAGTCTGGGGCTGGAAAGGTGAAAATTTTCCCAGATCTGGGCAAAGTGAAGATAAAACAGAGAAGGCTAAAGAATCATTACAAACCTTGCTTGCTCACAGTCACTGGCTCTACAAAGAACAATAATGGCTGAATCACAAAGCAGAACAGAAAAGAGCAAAAGGGAAAGTGAAAAACGACTGAAAATCTAGCATTAAAATGAGAGGCATTCCTGAAGAACACACAGAAATAATGACCATCAAAGATGTGAAAGAAGCCGAAACCGGTTTGGCTCAGCGGTAGAGCGTCGGTCTGCGGACTGAAGGGTCCCAGGTTCGATTCCGGTCGGGGGCATGTACTTTGGTTGCGGGCACATCCCCGGTGGGGGGTGTGCAGGAGGCAGCTGGTCGATGTTTCTCTCTCATCAACGTTTCTGGCTCTCTATCTCTCTCCCTTCCTCTCTGTGAAAAATCAATAAAATATATTAAAAAAAAAAAAAAGATGTGAAAGCAAAAGCTCAAAGGAAGATTCGAGACAATAATCGAAGGGATTGACACTGTTACTGACAAAAATAATGTGAAATACCTACACCCAGACGTGTCATAGCTGCTATGAGGAAGCCCTGAGGAGAGCACACCCTAAGCACAGCTGCCACAGAAGGCGGACGCTGGGTTAGATACTGATCGCCCCAAACTGGAAACCCAAATACCCATCCTGAGTCGAATGGACATAGAAGCTGAGTTAGAGTATCAATAATGGAATACCATATATGAATGAAAATGAATGAACCTTTGATAGAGGCAATTTTAGTTTAAGATTAAGATAGCATCACTAGATTATTCAATAAATAGCATTTCAAAAACTGTTTTCTTATTATAATTCATATGTCTAATAAAACTTCATATGACATCTGTAGAAGTGCAAGATACTGCTAATGAATATACATGAACTACCTGGGTATACTGCAAACTATTTGGGGACAGGCAATGAACAGTATACCTATTTTATTTCTTCCTCTATCCAGAAAGCATTTGGGTAAGCATTCCTGCAAGGAATGAATGAATAGGGATGAACAAAGGAATGAATGAATGATTGTCTCAATTGATTCATCGTGGCTGAGTTTGCTTGTTGGGTGATTCTTAACTCCAGCCTGGCCAACTTGCAGCAGCTGTGCACTATTTCCTCCTGAGCTTTGTGTAAAGAGAAGAAACAGAAACTTCCCAGAGTGAATGGCAGCATGGAGAGAGGCTCTTGTCCTGCCTGTTCTCCGTGGGGACCCACCCAGGGACTGGGCACTTTTGACCTTTACCTTGAAGGAAAGGGGCATTCTGTTCCTGGTGATAAACACCAACCACCCTATCCCCGCCATGGTGATCCTGAAGCAGGAGGCTGCAGGATGAGGAGGAGGATGGGGAGCAGAAAGTGAGGGTGGTACCCAACTAGTGTCTGCACCAGAGTTAGGCGGACCCACAAAGGATGCTCCACTGTCCACCGGTGTCCAACACATAAAGTGCCTGTGCGACACCGTGAGATCTCTGAGGATAAATGAATGGCCTCGAACAGCAGGACCGAGGACAGCTTGACAGGAGGCCGCCCCAAGAGAACAGCAAGCAGGCAAAGGCTCGGAAACCTCTGCTCCCCGAAGCACCAGCGGCAGTCACCCAAACCGGTTCTTGCCAGCTGGTTTTCAGACCCTGCTCCCTGCTCTAAACTCAGTGCATATCTGCACAGCCCTGCCGAACCCCGTGATGCTCGTAAGAAAGCATGAGTAGTCATAACTCAGGGGTCACCTTGGCAGAAAACAAAGAAGTAGAAGAAATCTTCCATCAGAAAATGCATGGATTACCTCCTAAAGGACAAAGGCAACACGTTCACCAGGGCCCTCAGGTCCTGAAGTGCCGCTTCCTTCCACCAGGGCTTCATTCCTGAGCCCGCCCAGGACTGCTGGAATCACTCCCTGTCCATCTCGCCTGCTAAACAAGAGCCTTTCTTTTCTCTCCCCTTCCTCCCCCCCACCCCCATTGATTTCAGCGAGGAAAGGAGAGGGGGATAGAGACAGAAACATCTTTGATGAGAAAGAATCATTGATCAGCTGCCTCCTGCACGCCCCACACTGGGGATTGAGCCCACAACCAGGAATCGAACTGTGACCTCCTGGTTCATAGGTCAACGCTCAACCACTGAGCCATGCTGGCTGGGCAGAAGGCACCTTTCAGCCCTACCCAGCTGCCTGGGCCTAGGTGAAACAGCTGGTGAACGCTGATGTTTGTCCAAGAACATGCAGGGTGCTGCAGCCAGGTGCTCAGAGCAGGGAACCAGGCTGAACTCTCACCAGCCACCCTCTTGAAAGGCTGCACCCAGAGGTGGCCCAGATTTACCAGAGAAAACGCCTTGCTCTGAGACGTGTTGGAGAAATCATCTCCTGGCTATTCTCGGCAAGGTTGGGTGGCAGACGGGAAGAGGAAAGGAAGTGGAAAGCGGGATCTGGGACAGCCACAGGGGATCTTCAAACTTCATTTGGTTAGTCATCTCGCATCTTTGAGTGTTGCCAGGTCTTGGCCTCTGTTCAGCAAAACTCACTCGGGGGGCTCCTGCGAACTGACAAACTCAGAAGGCCTACACAAACACACGTGCAAACTGGCCAAATCAATGCACCACCTGCCCTCATCTCCACTGGGACCGATTCCTTGGGGTGTGGGGGAGCTTGAGCCTCACCTCACCTGCCCAACGCGGCCAAAAATAATGAAGGATGGGCTCACGTCACAGGCAGTTAGGGCTCTCTGGCATGCGTCTGTGTCCTGCATCTGACTGTTCTCTGGCCAACTGAAGGTCAGTAGAGCTGAGGGTCCTGCTGTCCTCTCGGGCCACCAGTCTGTCCAGACCACAGTGAGCAGCTGCTGACCTAAGGGGCCTGGCCTTGTCCACTCGCTCTAACATCCCAGCCTCCTCTGGACCCAGCCCACCCACCTCTGCCACTCCACTGCCCACTCGTGCAATAAGCAAGCATTTAGGGAAGCAGGCCAACAAAATAAACAAGGGCAGGGGAAGTGATCACACGGCCCTATCCTTTGATTCCCTCATCTGCTGCAGATCATGAAGAAAGTGTGGCTTCCCTGGCCCAGCTCTGACTCTTCCCACCTTCCCCGGTGAAAGAGGAGCGCAGAGAAGGCACGCTGGCTCGGACCATTACACTTAAAAGCGGAGATGGGAGCCGTCTGGGGTACTTTCCGCTTCTCTCTTTTAGAAAATAAATTAGTAGACTTTGTGTTTTAAAATGTGTTACAAGGAACACAGCATTCCAAAACACTTGGGGGGAAAACAATCCTGGTTTGGCCTCAGCAGATGTGGCACCTAGGCAAACATCTGGCTGAATCAACCTAATTCTCTATTCCAGAAAAAAAAAAATTCCTTCTATCTCGATTTAATTTTCTTTTTATTGGGGGTTGGTTCACCAATGGGGACACAACAGGGCAGTGTCCCAGGACAAAGCCAGTCTCTGTGTTCTCGGTTTTTTCCCCCATCCCTCATTCTGCCCTGAATACTCAGGTCTGAACTGTGTTACGAAGGAACAGCAGCAATAAAAATTATTGCTGTCCACCTCGACGCAGCTTCCAGACAATTTCTCATCCGGGCAGTATTCGAAGCACATGGCCACATGTCAAGAGACAGCCATTAGCCAGGCTCAAACCCTCCCCCACAGCTGGGCCCCAGCATAAAAGACAACACGGGAACAGGACGACACCATGTGTGACAGAGATTCCATAAACTGGAAGATTCACTTGGGGAGCGGAAGGCTCTCCTCCCAGTCAGTATCCAAGGAAACGGAACGATCCCCCATCGATCTTTCAGGCCTCGAGGCCCATCCCACACAAAAAAGTCCTTCGGGCAGAATTTACCTCTGAACTCTTTCCCATCAACCACGGTCAGACGGTGGTTGGCCCTTTCACCGGAGATGCACAATAGCCCCACATGCCTCTCTGGATGGCTATGTTCCCAGACGGGGCGGGCTCCTTACCATCGAGCTCCTCCACGGAGATGTTAGCAAGCTGCTCGCTGTCGCTGCCAGCAGAGAGGGACCGGTTGAGGTAATTCCCCTTGTACAACAGGCCGGCGGTCACATGGTGGAAAGGCATCTTCTCCCTGTGCGCGGGAGAAGGGGGGCGAGAGAAAAAGACATCGTCAGCCACTCCTCCTGCCCGGCCTCAAAGGACTACCCCGGGGTTCCCCTGGCCAGTGTTTTCTTTTCATGAATAACATATCTAGAGGGGAAATCAGAAAACTCCGGGGTGCCCGTGGCTGAACAATCCACACGGGGCCTCAAGTTCTAGCCCTTCCTTCACTGTATGTCTGTCTTGCATCGTTGTTCCCACTGAATTGTGAATTTGAGGCGCGCTGTCCCTGCAGACTGTGGGACACCATGTCATCGCCAAGCTGTCTCCGTGCAAACAGGAACACCCTCTGCTTCTCTCCCTCGCCTGGCAGCCTCGTTCTCGGTTCTCACAAGAAAGGACAGTGCACCCCAGAAACGTCGGGTGTCTCACTGTCCCCAGGCAAAGCAGGCATTCCGCTCACACAGCACTCGGAGCAGGGGGGCACGCACGGCTCCACGTGAATATGCAAACCAATCTGTGCCCCTGAGGAGCGCCCCCAAGCCCGACTCAAACCCACCCTACTATAAAGGTGAGTGACATCTCAAGGTGTCCCAGAACTGAGCAGCTTCCAGCCCTCTCCGGGAAATTAACTAACGCATCCCTCTACCCCCAACTAACAAACCCACCAGCTGCTCTGCCCAGATGGCCACCACTGGGCCTCAGAGGTCCCCACAGGGCAAGGCAGGCCAGAGGCTCCAGGCTAAGGGGAAGGGGTGTGGTGAGGAGAATGAAAGGGCGGGTACAAAGGATAAAGAGGAAAGGCACTTAGAAAGATGGGCCCTCCAGGGCAGAAAGGGCCTGCCTGGTGCTGTTACAGTGAGGGAGCCACTGAGCACGTCAGGTTCTGCTTCCCCATCTGGAAAGGGACTAAGAGGACTAATACGCCAGTGAGTGGAAGTAGGGAACAGGGAGGGAGAACAGGGAGCCAATCCAGGGTGTGGGTAAAGAACACCTTAGCAGGGCTCCCAGAAGGAGGACTGGGCAGGTTGGAAGGAGTCATCTCCCTGTCCCTGGGAGCACCAAGCAAGGATGAGGGCCTCAGGAATGGCCCCTTGCTCTCTCCCCACTCAGCTATCAGTCTGCATGTAAGTCACTTGTAGAGACCTGTCCGGCACTAAAGCTTGTGTCTATAGGATAAGCCGGAGTGGCCGGAGCAGCCCCGGTGGCCACTGCTGAGCAACGAGGTATAAATTTCAGGAAGACAGCCAATGGGCCAGTCTCTGAGAACGATAGTTCAGGACAGCCAAACCTCGCTGAGCCTCAATCCCCACTCAGAGAGAACCCACGCTCGGCAATCGTCCCTGCTCATGGGATGTGCAGCCAGCACACACCAGGGGTGGGGCTCCTGTCTTCTTTTCCCTGGGACACCACTGTGGCAGGCACAACTGGACACGCCCCTACTGTCCCCACCACAGCAGCGGGTCCTTGTTGGGGCTGAGCACTGCTGACTTAGGGATCAGCCAAGGAGACTCCTAAGAATTACAGGGCTTGCCTAAGAGCACAAAACCCCGTTAGTGAAAGAGAATCCTTTCCAGAACGCAAGCCTCCTAAGCGCTGTTTCGACGAAGCAGCCACAGCTGAGCCAAGACATTTCCATGCGGATGTCAAACTCTCATTTCAAGCTCAAGATGTCTAAAAACAAATTAATTATCTTCCTAAAATATAGGCCACACTTCCTGATTTCTCTATTTCTATCAAAGGTACTTTTCACTCATCATAACAACTGGGACAGCTCTCACAAATGCTCTGGGCCCCAAACGGTAAGACAGACACAGGGCTGAGGCCAAAGCCGGCCGCCAGCCTCCAAACCACTCGAACTCTCTACCGCTCACAAAACACACATCCACGGGCCGATCGTCAACGGCAGGACGCTGGCCACAAAGCACACACACATTTGCCAAGTACATAAAGTACACCTTCAGCTAGTTACAAGCCAGACTTCCCCCTCCCAAAGCCAAATTGTCCTTTCACATAAATAGAAAACAATCATCTTTTTCTGGAAGAACAATTCAATTGCCATCTCTTCTTTCCTCCAAGTTAAATTTCAGAAAGAACAGGTTTAAAAGCGAGTATCAGACGTGTACTTTAAGGCCACTCTCCCTTTTCCTAAAGCCAATCCGGATTTGGGGGACCGGGAGCCGTGACTGTCTGACAAAGGACTGGATCCCCGTGGCCCAGGGAGAGAGACATCAACACCGGCTAACACTTCCCGCGTGCCTTCAGCTCCCTCTCAGCTCTGGCCCAGGATCCCAGCTGCCTCTCCGGCTGCTATTCTGTCATTTCAGTTCTTCGTGAACATGGGACAATAACACTGATCTTAGCGAATTTCCCTACCTGGAGGAGCCCCACTCTGATCAGTACCAGCACTGAAATTATTCCTCCCCATTTCATCACTCATCACTCCAGCTTCCAAGCATTTTGTAAATATCTTCCCTTTATCACCTTTTACCTGGACGTCTGAAGCTTTGCATCTGCCACACACATTTCTGCAGCCGAATAACAAAGTTATACGCAAACAAACATTCCCAAGCCATGTCCCAGTACAGCACATAATAAACAGTGAGTACTTGGCAGAAAGAAAAAAACAAAAAAACTGGTCATAACTGAATCCCATTTGATATGCCAACATAATTTGCTTCTGGAAAAAGCAGCTTACAAAATTAGGTACATATCCATTTCCTTCGGTCTCTGCACCCAAAATGTTCAATGTCTAGCAGGAAAGAAAACATGTGGAATTGAACCATCCATACAGATAAATAAAGTCGTGTTCAAAAAAGGGAAGAACATTATTTCAAGTAAGCTAAAAACAGCTGCTGCAATTAAAGACTAAATTTCACTCCAAGCCACCTGGGGAAACCCAACCAAGATTTTTCTCTTCGGTGAAGGAAGAAAAACACACAAGTGCATCGACAAAGACAAACATGGTCCTGGACTAAAACTTAAAGATGGATTCTTATGGGGGAGAGAAGGGAGACAATGAACTCAAAATATATGCAAATATTTTCACCACAACTTTACTCATTAAGAAATATTATTTAACTGACTTGGTCATGTGAACACTTTCTCTGTAACTTCTGTAAGGCATTATGATTTCATGTTTAAGAATCAGGACTTGCCGAAACCGGTTTGGTTCAGTGGATAGGGCGTTGACCTGCGGACTGAGGGGTCCCAGGTTCAATTCCGGTCAGGGGATGTACCTTGGTTGCAGGCACGTCACGTCCCTAGTGGGGGGGGGGGGGGGGGGAGGTGTGTGCAGGAGGCAACTGATAGATGTTTCTAACTATCCCTCTCTCTTCCTCTCTGGAAAAAATTAAAAAATCAATAAAATATATTTAACAACAACAACAACAAAAATCAGGACTTGCTGGACCGGTGTGGCTCAGCAGTTGAGCCTTTACCTATGATCCAGGAGGTCACAGTTTGCAAGCACATGCCCGGATTGTGAGCTCAATCCCTGGTCGGGGGCACGCAGGAAGCAGCCAATCAATGATTCTCTCTCATCACTGATGTTTCTATCTCTTTCTTCCTCTCTGAAATAAAATATAAATATATATATATTATATTTTATGAGGCAAAAATAGTATTAGATTTAAATTCTACCTCTGCCTTCAATAACCATATCAGCAAGTTACTTATTTTCTGTAAGCCTCAGTTTCCTCCTCCATAAAAGAGGGTTTTGATACATACTGAATAGTATTTTTATAAATATAAAATAAGATATGGAAAATGCTGTACTTAGTACCAGAAACACTATCAATAAATATCAGGAATTATTTGCTAAGGGTATATGAAGCAGGATTCAGGGAAAAGAGGGGGTCACAGATATGGGATTGAAGATCAAACATTCTGGGTTAGGAAGGAGGGTCAGGGAATACGTGGCAGAGGGTGGGCTCAGAGAAAGCTGGCTGGCTCTGAGAGACCAGGTGGGCCAGGGGCTCACAGCACCAGCATTCCTGGTGAGTGGAGAGTGGTATCGGCAAGCAGCTGGCTGCATCTGCAGGAGGGCTGTTAAATGGGAAGCACAGGAGCTGAAGAAGAGTCAATCTCCTGGGCACCAGGGGATTCTCTAGTTACATAATGGACGAGGTGTCCGGGGGTTAAAAATCAAAGGGTTGGTTCCTGCTTTAAGGGTCAAGGAACGGGTACATTTCTTGGTGGAGTAACCAACCAAAGAGCCCCATCATGTTGACATGAGATGGTGCCCTTCAGTGAAGGTTAATTTTGTGTGTCAATGTGACTGGGCCCCGGGGTGCCCAGATATTTGGTTAAACATTATTCTGGGCTGTCTGTGAGGTTGTTTCTGGATGAGAGGAACATCTGAGTCACAGACTGAGTACAGCAGGTCGCCCTCCATGACGTGGCTGAGCCTCAGCCCACCGATGGAGGCAGAGGAGGGAGAATCCATTCTCTGGGGCCTGACGGTGAAGCTGGGACACTGGTCTTCTACCTGGACTGGAGCTCACACCATCATTTCTCCTGGGCCTCCAGCTTGCCAACTGCAGACTGTGGGCTTCTCAGCCTCCATAACTATGGGAGCCAATTCTTTATAATAAATCCTTCTATGTTAACATCCATCTTATTGGTTATGATTCTCTGGGGAGCCCAGACTAATACACCTTCCATGCATATTACCAGAGGCTGGTGTTGTTATTACAGACAAAGATTGTACCAAAACACAGTTCTGCGGGGCCCCTACAGCAGGGCCACTCAGCGTGCTCCGTGGACCACTGCCAGGCAGACACTGCTTGCAGCTGGTCTGCAATGAGCTAAGGACAGGAACGGGGAGACCGATTTGAAATGTTTATAGCATTGTCCCAACATCTAAGCATGTGATGACCAGTTGACTTGATTTATCTTCATTTTATTTTTCCAGTAACCCCTTCTTACTATATTTGACAAAAGCATTAGTCTGCCAAGAACCAGAATTAAAAAAAAAAAAAAAAAAACTTGCCCTTACCCCACAATTGGTGTAAGAAGCACTGCTCTAAC